AATGTAAATTGAAATTTCATCTTAATTAATTATTATATTTGATAAAAAAATTTGAACTTCAAAAACAAAATGTTGTAAAAAATAAAAATATATATACTATATTTAACATTTTTCAAAAGTTTAAGAAGTACCTTGCTAGTCAGTTAACGAAATGTTTGTCAAGTGGATCATTTTGAAACAAAATTGATAGTTTATAGATCATTTTAAAAGGAAAAATTATTTCTAAACTAAATTGAAATAAATCACATTATTAATAAACTATTTATTGAATTTAACCGAATAAAAATTCCTTTAATCTTGAAATATAAAAGTACTTCTGCCCATAAATACAAATACAAAGGATCAACGAAAAATCTTTGGGAAAGCTTCTTCTAAAAGCTTGCCAAAACAAGAGCTTAAACAGACAACATCATAATATAAACTAGCAGCTACGAAATTAGAAACTTTTAGCACAAAGTTCTGGAGCTAAACACAACTGAACCTTTCAGAAACGATTGTCACTATGGTGAGAATATAATGAAATTTTTTGTGGGGTGGGGATGAGGTTTCTAGAAAAATTGTTTGGGGGGATGGGATACTGTTTGTCTAGGAAAAAGGAAAGATGGTTTGGGTGCGGTAGACTTCGAAAAAAGGAATTGGCTTTATTAAGGAAGTGGTGGGGTAGATTCGGGGTTGAGTCAGAGGGATTATGGAAGAAGGTAGTGTGTGAAAAATACTATGGAGGAAGATGGAATTTGACATCACAAAGTTTAAGTGTCGCTGGTTGTCCAAAATCTGGGGGCTATAGTGACTGTGGGGAGTGTGAGTGAGGAAGCTAAGAAAGTTTTAGCAAAAGGTTTTCAATGGGAGGTTGGTAATGGAGGCAAGGTGAATTTTTGGTCTGATTTATGGGTGGAGGAGTGTGACTTTCAGCGTCGTTTTCCTCGTTTATTTGCCTTATTATATAAGGTGGCTGATGTGGGTGAATGGAGGAATGAGGGATGGATATGTCAGTTTAGTTGGAGAAAGGTAGGTTGGGACGTAAGTTGGATGAAGAAAGGGAGTTCCTGAGTTTACTAGGAGGGGTGGGCTTGAAGGAGGGAAGGATGATTTGAGATATTGGAAGTTTGATATGTAGAAGTGGGATCTTAATCCTTCAGTATGTAATAGAAACTATCAGTTTTAACAATATAAATAATAAAAATCGTTAATTTTAACGGTACAAATAATGAAAATTATTAATTTTAACAATATAAATAACAAAAATTGTTAATATGTAACAAAGTGTGTACTTTTATAGAATGTATATATCATTGTCAAGACAAAATGGTGTATAAACAAATGGTTAGTGACAGGTGGGTTGTGGAATATATTTTTTGCAAAGTTATTTGAAGCTTTTGCCTACAAGGTGAGTACATTTGGACGAAGGCCTATTCTTAACTGATTACCGATAAGAGTGAATCTTTTGAAAAGGGGTGTGAATTTTGTTTTGGGAGGCTGTTTGTGTGCTTTTTGTAATGAGGAGGAGGAGTGTATTGATCATGTTATGATTCCGTGTAATAAGGTTTGTAGAATTTGGATGAGAGTGTTTAACTGGTGGGGAATATTGGATATTGTCTTGCCAAATAGTGTTCATGAAATGTGGGAGCAAGTGTGTTACGTGCTGGGGGGATGAAGGAGAGATAGGTAATAGCTTTATTGTTCCTGGTGGTATGTTGGTACATATGGTTTTGGCGTAATGATCAAATTTTTGGAGGAAGTCGGTTGGCTGAGGAGAGACTATTAGAGTTAATCCGATCAAATTCTTTTCTATGGCTAAAGTGTAAATGTTCGGGCCAACTTTTTTTCATTTTATGAAAGGGAAATGATTAGTATATACTCAGTTAAATATACTTTATGATATTTATCTAATTTAGTTATTAAAATATAATATAATTATAATCAAATTCAATTAATTTTTATATTTTGTATTTATAGTTACATTTTTAAATTTATTTATTTTTAATTTTATATTAAAGAATAATATTTTTTTAATAAATATATTATATAATATATTAAATTAAATTATATACCAATTAGTATGCTTTTGTCAATGGTGTTGTATCCATGGGATTGTGCTCTATCCATTAGAAAATATAGACAAGCAAGGAACTAAGCCAAACGTATAGTCAGGGTTGATTATTTACTGAGGTTTAGTTGTATATGTTTTATTTGTGAGTTTTTAACATTTTAAAGTTCTACGAATTGGAGTATTTTCTATACTCCATACAATAAAATATTATAATTAGCTAATGAAAAAAATGATTGTCACTATACATTCTTAAAATTATCCGACGGATTAGTTGGAGTAACCATTGTTCTGTTTTTTTTTTTATTTTATCAGCCAAATAAAAGTCTTTATTCATTTTGGAGTGTTAAGATGTAAACACAATAATTTAGATTATATTCACACTTATTATAAATATTTTATACCTTAAAATATTCTCTTTATATATTTTGTATTCTTTTTATAAACACTTCTTTTTATAAACACTTATATATAGATTATTATATATATATTATTATACATACAGTATTACTCAAGAAAGCAATAAACTTTTCTTCAAATATTTCTCCTTCTTTTTCGATTTCTAACTTGGTATCAGAGCCATAAGCTCTCAATTTTTCTTTTATCACTGCTAGGTTACTGAGTTGGATTTTCAGATCTATTCCAGATTTGAAACTTTGTCATTGGGTTCTTTTCTCTTACAGATTGGATTGTTTATTCTCAATTCTCACGCCTTTTTTGAGATTTTTTTTGAGTTGTAATTTCAGTCTTGGCATCTATTTCTTCATATTTTTAGAGACTTTTTCAGTATTATGAGTTCTACTGATTCTGTGGTGAGTTTTGAAAGAATTGTGACTTATCTTGCTGCCGCAATGCTTGCCAAAGAGGTAATAAATCAACCTATTGTCAACCCTGAATCTCTAAAACAAGTGATATTAAATCTTCTTAATGCTTCTACTGCCTTATCTGCTGCTTCAGGTACTAAACCTTGGTATTTCGATTTTGGTTGTTGTAATCACATGTCTTCAACTACTGCTTATTTTCTTCAATGTCACCAAATAATTCCTTTCCTGACATTTATTCTACTGACAACTCCCTTATGAATGTTAGTTACATCGACAATATTTCTACAAATTCATTGACTTTACCAAACATTTTCTTGGTTCCAAAACTTAGTTATAATTTCTTATCTATTGGTCAGTTATGTGATCTTGGTCTTGAAATAACTTTTTCTACTCATGGTTGCTGTGTGCAGGACCCACAAACGGGACAACTTCTTGAAACTGGTTGCAAGGTGGGGCAGCTGTTTGAACTCAATTATCTATATATATCTGATCATAAAATGGACACACCATCATTTTTAAATGACCGATTCATCCAAACTCTACTTTGTACCATTGAATTAGAGTCTTTGCAAATTTCATATCAACAAATCTTCCAAGCCTGTGTTGCTACTAATATTTCTCCACTTCATTTATGGCACTCACAGCTTGGACATACCTCAGTTGGTAAACTTCGTCCTCTTATCTCTCGTGGTTTATTATTATCTGTTCTGAATGAATCCTTGCATTGTGTGTCATGTCAATTTGCAAAACAACCAACTTTATTGTTTACTAATAGTCATTCTCTTTTTGCTGCTTTTTTTGATCTTGTGCATTCTGATGTTTGGGGTCCATCTTCGACACCTACCATGGGGGGTTCCAGGTATTTTGTGCTATTTATTGATGATCATATTGATTTTACTTGGATATATCTTATGAAAAATCACTATAAGTTATCACAAATTTATATTGATTTTGCTACCATGGTCAAACCCAATTCTCTAAAATTATCAAAGTTTTGAGAACTGACAATGCCACGAAATATCTTAGTACTAAACTTCAATCCATTTTGAAAGAATAGAGTACACTGACACAACAATCTTGTCCTTACACTTCTAAACAAAATGGGCGAGCCGAATGTAAACACAGACACATCCTTGATTCTGTTTGTGCTTTGCTCATTTCATCTTCTTGTCCAAAGCGATTTTGAGGTGAAGCTGCTCTTACATCTATTTATCTCATTAATCGGATTCCATCATTGGTCATCAATAATAAGTCTCCATATGAATGTTTGCATGGTATTCCTCCTGCCTATGATCTTCTTAAGGTTTTTGATTGTGCTTGTTTGTTCTTTTTCCACCTCATGAACATAATAAGTTAGAGCCTAAAGCTCGATTATGTTGTTTTTTGGGTTATGGGATTACACATAAAGGATGTCGTTGTTAGGATCTTGTGTCACAAAAACTTCGAGTCTCACGTCATGTTGTTTTTGGGAACACACTATGTTTTCCTCATTATCAAACTTCCAGGTGTCATCTTTTGATCAACCTCCACTTTTTACTAACCCTTCTATTGAGCTATTTCCTAGTGACTCAGATGCAGATACATTTGATGTGCTCCATGATGCCTCTCCACATGCTCCACCTGGTTCTATAGAAGATGTTCTACTTGCTGGTAATGCATTAGACAATGCTGAGTCTTCTTCCTTAACCTCTTTTGTATCACTTGTTAGATCTAACCCTATTGATATTGAGCCTAAAAAAGAGATCCTTAATCCACCGTCATCCTACTCGGGTAAGAAATCCTCCTAGCTATGTTCGTGATTATCATTGCTTTCCTGCTATTACCTCCTTACATGAGCCTCAATCCTACCAAGAGGCCTTTTCTAACCCTCTTTGGTAGGAATCTATGCAAGATGAATTACAAGCCCTTGACAAAACTTGTACATGGGATTTAGTTGATCTTCCTACTAGAAAGCCTTTAGTAAGTTGTAAATGGGTGTACAAGATCAAAACTCAGTCTAATGGTTTTGTGAAACGATACAAGGCTCGTTTGGTTGCTAAAGATTTTACTCAGGAATATGGGATTGTTTATAAGGAAACCTTTGCACCTATTGCTCATTCTACTTCAATTCATAGTTTGATTGTTATTGCTGCTGCAAAAAGATGGAAATTGTTTCAAATGGATGTGAAAAATGCCTTTCTAAATGGTGATCTTACAAAGGAATTTTACATGAAACCACCTCTTAGACTTGAGCATCCTCCTCCAAACAAAGTTTGTCAATTAAAGCGAGCTCTGTATGGTTTGAAACAAGCACCTCGAGCTTGGTTTGTGAAGTTTAGTACTACCATAAGTGAATTTGGTTTTACTTCTAGTCCTTATGATACTGCACTGTTTATACGCAAAACTAATCATGGTATGGTTGTACTACTTCTTTATGTTGATGATATGATCAGTACTGGGGATGATATTTCAAGTATTCATGATCTTAAGCAATTTCTCAGTCATAAGTTTGAGATGAAAGATCTTGGTGTTTTGAGCTTTTTCTTGGGACTTGAGTTCACCTCTTCTGATGATGGTTATCTTCTCTCCCAAACAAAATATGCTTCTGATCTTATATCAAAAGCTGGACTCACTAACAGTAAGACTGCATCTACTCCTCTTGAGCCTAATGTTCGACTTACATCCATAGATGGTTCTGCATTAGCTAATCCTACTCGTTACAAACAGTTGGTTGAAAGTTTGATTTATCTCACTACAACACAATCAGACACAGTTTATGCAATTCATGTTATTAGCTAGTTTACAACTATGCCTCTCTTCACTCACTATGCAGTGGTATTTTGCATTATTCGGTATATTAAAGGTACCATGTTTCATGGACTTCACTTTTCTGCTTATTCATCTCTTGAACTTCGTGCTTACTCTGACACTGATTGGGTTGGAGACTCTAATGATTGTAAATCTACCACTGGATATTATCTTTTTCTTGGTGATTCCTTAATCTCTTAGCGTAGCAATAATCAGACAGTTCCATCACATTTTAGCACAAAAGCTGAATATCGAGCACTTGGAGATGCCACATCAAAGTTACTTAATTTACGTTGGCTACTAGAAGATATGGGTGTTTCTCAACCACTTGCTACTAATATTTATTGTGACAATCAGAGTACCATGCAGATTGCTTATAATTATGTCTTCCATGAACGCACTAAACACATTGAAGTTGACTGTCACTTTGTTCGCCATCATGTTGCACAAGGAACTGTTCATTTGGTTTTTATTGGCTTCATTGATGAACCAACATACCTTTTCACTAAGGCTTATTTTCCTAGGTGCTTTCGTAGTTTGTTTCATCACAACCACTTTGAGTTTAAGGGGGGATGTTAAGATGTGAACACAATAATTTAGATTATATTCACACTTGTTGTAAATATTTTATGCCATAAAATAATCTCTTTATATACTCTATACCTTAGAATATTTTTTTTGTAAACACATATATAGGTCATTATACATACAATATTATTCAAGAAAGCAATAAACTTTTTTTCAAATATTTCTCCTTTTTCAATTTCTAACTTCGAGTAACCATTGTTCCATTTTTTTTTTTTAACATGGGGGAATTTTGGGGAAGGAAGAATTTTTTCAAGTAATTGGTATAAATAAAAATACCAATATTTTCCTTTTCCCTTTTACGAAATTAAGGGATAATTCAGATATATTCTTCATTAATTAAGAGAAAGATTACAACTACCTGGTACAAATATAAATACATATTCAACAAAGAAGGATCGTCCAATGAAATCGTCTCTTTATTCTTTTCCTGGCAGAGCCAAGAATGCAAGCAACAACATGCGCAGTCTCAAGCGACAACATACAATATAGAAGAAGATAATGAGGACAACATTGATAGATCGAGCTATGTACTTACATTCCCCTATTAGACGTAGAAATTAGAAAAAGGAACTTTTACTACCATCAGACATCAGCAGGTGGAATTGCTGCTGCTGCAGATTCAACATTAATCTTCTTGGATTATTTAGAAGATACCCAATTCTTCAAGTTTTTGCTTCAACAAATTGGGCATTTTCAGTCTTACCATCTAATGTAAGTGTATCTTTAAGATTTTGCTTCAGGAACAAGATTATTCCAGATTTCCTCTTTCTTCTTTCATTATCGTCCTCATTGTGCTCGTAAGTAAGGTAGACACCCATTTTTATCTTGTCTCCATCGTCAAAGCCATTAGCAAGTATGCTGAAGTTTTTTATTTTCCATGAACGTTCCTCTGCATACCTGAATTTTTAGAGGGAAGTCATATCACACAATTTATAAATATATGCGATTGAGTCATATAACGCATAGCATATATATATCACTAACAATGATCACTAACCTTTGCATTTATTTGCTACATGGGTCAATTATAGGAAAATTTTCCAAAAGAGACTGTCAAAAACAGAGACTAGAAATATATTCTTTCTTTATATATTACAATATATAGCTAGACAGAATTAGTAGCCACTAACATAAAAATCTTGATTTTAATTTAAAGTTAAGATTGTGATTGAAACTAACCCTCTGCAATTAATCACAGGCAGCTAGCTCTTAATGTGCTTATAAAAAATATGAAAGGGATGACAAACAGACTTACATTTTTATTTCTTTCTCCAGCTGTTCAACTTTGTTTTTGCATGGCCAAGCATCAACAACAAATTCTATATGGTCCTCATCATCACGCCGACTGCTGTGAAAACTGCAAATGGATTTGGTAGCTAAAACTGAATTTGGATAAACAATTTTCGCCTCAAGAACCTCACTATCAACAGCACACACCCTTGAAAAGACCGTCGTTTGAATATTGATCTCTTTCACAACCATCTGGGAAACTTCAATTATGTCAAGCATGCAAGGTGATATATATATATATATATATATATCATGGTATTGTATTACACTTGCAAACCATGCATGACAGTTTTATAATATATGTGTGTGTGATGATAAGAGACTCACCTCCTCTTGTCGATCTTCTATGAGACAACGATCGTTAACATCAAATGGGTGTATAACAAACACAAATATAATGCCTTCAAATATTTTCTTGCAAGTGTCACCAAACACGAATGCCAGAACAAAAAGTTGGGATAAAATCAAGGCAACTGCTTGGGTCGATAAAACTTTCATCATAAGTAACCACAGAATAACGATCAGAACAATGACTATCCCTTTAAAAAGCGTGTTCAAGTCTGCCATTTTTCTCCTGGTATCATGTAAAGAAGATTCTAGCGACTTGCATTCCTCATAAGCAGCTTCCTACAAAACAAATACACTCTACACTCAAATTCGTGCCCACAAATTAATAACTAGTGTATCCACAAGTGTTTACACACACACATACATATATAGTGGCAATAACCCAGAAAATACTTTTAGGGGGAGTAAAATAAAATTTCAACAAAAAAACAATGACTTTGTATGTCAATTTGAAAAGTAAAAAATAATATTTTAAATAAAATTTCTTTAGTGATAAACTAATGCTCCCTCTTGTCTAATTTAACTGTTTTAATTTGATTTTTGCATAAAATTTATTTAGATAATTTTATATATTAAATAAATAATAATTAATTTTTTTTTCTTTTTATATGTAATTCTTGTTAAATATTTTCACTTAAATCAAACTTTTTTTCAATTGTCACTTATTTACTACATAAAATAGTCAAGTTAATTTACATAAAATTGAGAGTCTAGGACAACTAAAATGGACTAAAGAAAGTAATAGTTAATAATGTAATATAAACATCATTAATTAAAAGATAAACGTATACTAAGTAGAAAATTTTATACTACAAGAAAAAGAAGAGGAAGTAACTATATTAATGAATAGATAATTTATAAAAAAAATGACAATAAATAATTTTTATTCAACAATTTTTACTTTTTCTCATATTTTATATTATCTTTATTTTCTCTGTCTTTCTCTTTTATCATTAAAAGTAATTTTCAACAACACAAATAATAAAAAATGATTAAAACAACATGAAATAAGGAAGGATGAAAATGAAAAATAAAAAAAAGGAACCAAGCTAAACTTTTTACAAAAATTTAAGGAGCTGTGCCCCATAAGGCAACCTTGGTTCCCCAAGAAGGTGTGTGTGCATATATGTATGTAACTCACTATCCACTTCTCCAAATTCATTTTTGTGATGACTTTGGGGTCTGATCCTCCAGCAGCATTTCCGTCTATAAGTTGAAACAACATGTCAACTTCATCGTTTATCCGCGCAGTACTGGGCTCGAAAGGCAAATTTTCGCCACTTTTGAAGAAGCTTGAGATGGCGTCTTTGGTAATCTCTCCGTCACCCCCAGACCTAGTCGATTAATTAATTAATGGAGATTAAAAAAAAAAAAAAAAAACGTAAATTAAAAATCTTACCCCGTATCTGAAACCTGAGAAGCAACAGCCTTTCCATCCTCTCCCTTTCTGGTCCTTTAATTTGTTATCAGTTTGAGTTTATTAGAACCATCATTATGTAAACAGTTTTATTATCGGAGCTGATTAAATTAATTAATATTCTTAATTAATTACCTTCTAAGATTGGGAAAGCCATGTAAAAAGTCCTGACCAGCATTCCTCAACCTAAGGGAGAGAAATGTAACGATCAAAAATAAAAGGGGAGAGAAATAGTGAAAACAAACCATAAGCATTCATCAAAAAAGAAAACAAACGATAAGCCATGTAGTAAAATAAATCTTAATTACCTTTCAAAAATGGTGATCCTACTTAAAAAGTACTGCAAAGCTTTCTTCCAGCTAAGGGAGAGAAATAGTTCAAACCATCAGTATTCATCAAAAAAAAAAAAAAAAAACCTAAGCTATGCAATAAAATTAATCTTAGTAAATGATAAAAATATATCGATTCTTAATTACCAGTTGTCTCCCTTGGGATCTGAACTCTGAGCAGCCCTCTTGTGCGGCTCATCTCTAGCAAATTTTGTTAGATTGGATGTTATTAGAAAAACTATAAACAAAAGCTATGTAGTAATAAATCCTAGTAGATGATAAACTCAATTCTTAATTACCTGTTTTCTGTAATCTGGGTGTCTGAACTCCGACCACTCTTTTGTTCGTCCAGAGCTCTAGCAAATTTTGTTAGATTGGATGTTATTAGAAAAACTATAAA